TATACTGAGATTGTTTTCAAGCTACAGATTGTGAATTATTTTCTATGAATGTGGAGATAATACAATAGAATGAAAATTAAAAAAAAATGACAACTTTTCTGTTCAAACATGGTATCTGAAGATAGCCTCTTAAAGTCTGGGGGAAATACTCTATTTTTCATTTTTAAGGTGAATCGAAAAATAAGGCCATATTTATTGTTGCTTTGGGACTTTATCATAAAATAATGTTATCGGGAATACCTCCTGCAATAAACCAATTTCTACGAATATTTCAATAAGTCTACAAAGATGTTTTTATCAAATTAGGAAGGGCTAATTTCGTCGGAATTTAACTTGGGCAATTTTCAAAAGTGTATCCAACTTAACTTAAATTCGAAGTATCACAGCATAATGCGTGTATAGATTAAGGTTCTAAGAATATTATGGCTTATTTCTAAAGAGATCAACAAGTAAAAAAACGCCCAAAGATAGCCCGAAACTGCAGTTTTGACAGATCCCAAACAACGTTAGAATGTCATCGTTAACAAAAAATAAAACTATGCATTGTCTTTATGATTCACATTAAATAAATTTAGCGACATCCTTGGGAAATGTTTTGTACAAATTTACAAAAACATGTTACATTTGCTATTTTGTATCAATTCAACAGCAATATGTAGCACTGAATAAAATTTCGATTTAATGTGAAATTGTTAAAATATGGTTTAAGTATATGGTATAGACTATTTAATACATGTATTCACATGATTTCCAGTAGAATTTGCCAACCTTAAGAGTTTGACCATGTGTGTGAAATAAAAACAGGGGAACTTGGCTTCAAATGTACGTCTTTTTCCAATCCAATTACAGCAAAAAGCTATACCAACAATTTTCAAAAATAGGATGGTCATCACACCTAACCTACCTATATCTATCTACCGCAATAATGTCTATGCTTAGACAAATTAACCTTAATGTGCTGAGTTCCAAAAAAGAACCAAAAACTTAAGATATGATGTTTATTGTGTAGATTTCAGTAAAAGAAATTTTCATGGTTTCATGAAAAAAATTTCAACCAGTGCAATTGCATTCAAAAGATGCTGTGTTGGACTAGATACATATATAATATGTCTCTGGTAGGACGTTATTCATCTCCAACCGATCGATGGGGGTTTAAACTCAGTTGATTACTACAGGGCCCTAGATATGCAGCCTGGTTTATTTAGGTCATTATACATCAGGAATTAATTGAATAAACAAATTTTTGAATAAACAAAAATGTATATGGTACCGAATATTGTTTCACTGAATAGTAGAGCAACTAACTTTTTCGGTTGAGTAAAAATATCAAACATTGCAATCATCGAATATCTAAATAATGAACTAGTTTGTTGAAATCATTAAAAACGGATAAAACAGACATAATAATTTTATGCACACTTGATTACCAAACGCCTAGAACATAATCTCCCAATCGTGAAACGTTCTGTAGGAAAATTATGATATATAGACACTTTGATCTGTTCTGGCGAAAGTAATGGAGTCAGAATCTCCATTACATAAGTAACTTTAGAAAAAATGCCGATTGCTTGACATGATGTAAATATGACAATTAGTGGAATGTCAGAAAGTAATAGAAACTAATACACCAATTAGATTGATACACCTTCAGTATTATCCTGGGTATCAAACTATCACCAGCTGTTTTGTTAATCAATACTTATCTGCCCTGTGTAAATTGTTTCAGCTCAACAGCAGCAGCTCTTTTATGAGGTATTATTAATAAGAGGTAGAGTAAGAGTCAAGTCGAGGCATATTAAGAAAATATATTTTTTATTTTTATGAGATTGGCAACAAAAAACCACAACAAACAGAGATTACAATTAATAACTTTTTTACGTTGATCTATGTTTTGAGAGTCCATATTCGTGTGATCTAAGAAGGAATGTTCAAATAGATTTTAACCGGCGATGCCGCTACTTTATTGAACTTTTATCCGACAATAAAATAGTGAACTTATTAACTAGCATCAGCTGCTTCCTTCGACAGTGGATGTTTTTACTTATAACCAGAGTCTATATCGTGCACCAGTAAAAGCTATTACCCGCACGATTCTGATTCTTTGTAATTACCGCTAATATTGTTTATGGAAATCAGTAATTGAATTACAGAATACAAATAAATAAAGGAATAACATATAATAGTGCTCTAATTCTTCCGTGTAACAGAAAAAAACCCAAAGTACACGTATATATACAATATAAGTACATGAAAAAAAAATACATCTTGAAAATTAAGGCACCTACAAGATCAAGACATCCAGACAAAAATGAATAAAAATAAAATGGAAAAAATAAATATAAGAAATGAAGACGTAATTTAGAATATAGAAATAAGAGATGTGGTATGTTTGCCAATAAGACAACTATTCAAGATGTTTAAGTTACAATCAGAAGTTTATTATCGCAATTATCCTCACGAATTCAAGTAGTTGTACATCCGTGAATTTCACATTTTTGCGTTCCCAATGAAGGTAAATCCAGAAAGGCGATTCGGACGAACCATTAAGTGTTATTTGTATTATTTATATAGATTTGTAAGACTTGTTTATCGTTAACTGTTAATTGTTGTTTCTGTATTGTTTGTTTGCCACTGTGACTGTGGATACATTTTGTGACAATAACACGTTACGAAATATACTGAAAATCTAATAGACGGTGTTCTTCATGTTGCTCTGTCGAACGTCTAAAACAGTTCTCTAGACGGGACACTTCTTTCATATTGTTATAAATTGCAGTAGATAAAATAACTGTTCACATTTTGTACACCTGTGATACTTAATAACATGCAAATTCCAATGCACAGCTGATTCAACTATTGATTTAAAATGTGTATGCATTACATTGTAACAGTTATACATCGTAATTAGTGATTAGTAAAAAGACTCTTTCTGACAGTAATTTTTTTAGGTAACGTTATACCTAAATAAGTAAATCACAGGATTACCGTTTGGCTAGTTGTAATGCGCTTTCGTGCTATGAACACTAACCGATTTTAAAACTTTGCGATCAAACATTTTGTGCATGTTAACCATCATAGTGTGCTTCTTTTATTTTAAGTAAATATGTAAACTTATATTCAACATACAGTATAGCAATTACATTTTAATGTATTCTTTTGATTTCAAGATCTTTAAAAAAATCATCTTTACTACATCTTAAAGCAAAACATCTTATTGCAAACGTTTGTGTCAGTTTACATTTTTTGTTTATTATATCTTGACCTTCTAAAAAAATATTTATTATAAGTTGTGTAAAGTTCTTCACCGATTTTTCTTTTTATAACGCTTAATAAAGCACGAAACGCTAGCTGAAATTTTTTAAATATCTTATAAATAATTTGTAAATTTAGTTTTCAATGGACAAAATTCTATAAAAACCCGATCAGATGGTCTTATCTTCACTGTCTTGATTACCTGCATAGCCTGAAACTCAATCATGACATAAGTACTGTTAATTTCTTATCATTTATAAATGAAAGTGACCAATGCGTTTTAGAGCTGTCCTAAAATCTGTAGAAGTCGCTATCTAAATTCATTACGGCAGTGGTGAAATAACACTTTCTTTAAACATTTATAAGTTGTCCTCAACGTGTCAATATTTCAATATCATTTGTCAAGCTTATTATTGACTCGAGTCTAGACAAGTACTGAACAAATTTAGCAGACTCAAAAATCTGCCACAAAGCCATTAGGATATGAATAAGGACAACACACTGACGAATTAACAGACATGGACAAAGCGTTACACTAGTTTTTGAGTACTTAACCCCCTCTTTTAATTTCCAATAGTTTTAAATAAATAAAAGACAAACATACAATAGGGATAATATACACGATGAACTATAAGTATATAACTGTCTGGCCATTATATTAAGTAGCTCATTTAATTTTGTCTGCAATTGAGTATGTTTACAACTCCAAGTCAAAGTGAATGCATATTTAGTTACATTAATTAATATTTATCAAAATGTTTTTTTCTTAAAATAAATTAAACAGACAATCATGTTCTGTCATCGAGAGCAAATTTCCCAATTGACAAAGGAAACAAAAAAAAAAAAACACCACAAAACACCAAGATGTAGCAAACAATTGCTATTGACGTGTGCTACATGCATGTACACATGTGCATGGCGGGGTTGAACTTGCCATTTTAAATTCGCTAAATAGATTAACAAAATGTACATTAAATGACGTACAATGAAAATCAGAACGTATAAAGGACTTTACTTTATTTTACCAGTATAATTTAAAAGAATTTAACGCGTTCTCCGCTCTTTGTACAAAATGTACTTTGATTTTACGTTTTAACACGACAATAAAACAAAAACAAAAAAAACAGCAAAATAATGCTCGCAGTAAATGACAGCATAGTAGCAGTAAATGAATGCACAGAAAGTACTTAAACTGCTGATATGGAGCCATGTCGTCCTACTTTCTAATAATGGACTGCATGTACGTTGGAGTAGATTGTATTTAGCAACTTCATAAACAGTGTAAAAATTGTTGGCTTGCTTCAAAATTACATGGCGAATTAATTGATGTTCATTAAAAGTACATATAAATAGTTAAACAACAGTATAGTAATAAATTTTATAAATAAGTCTGGTAAGCCCAAAGGAGTTGGCAAAGGTTGAAAGTTTATGTTGTTAAGTGAACTTAGAATTACACGCGGAAAATGTTTATCGGTTCTATTTTTCCTTCTGTTGCTTTTGTTTCCACTAGTTAACTACTATTGTAGTTTGTCGATTTAGAGATGTATTTCCTCAGCTTCAAAGTTTACTTTTATTTGAACTACTTGAAAAAATCTTAGAACATGTGCGTTGTGAGAGAACCAAGGCCATGGAGGGAATATTTGTTTCACAGGTGAAAGGTGCAAAACAATCAAATCGTATTGCATACCATTAGGATTAATTGGTATTATCAGGTTTATTTGTTATTTTGCATTTTATGTCTATTTCAGATCGTAAAGATGCTAGTTATAGTAGTTGCAGTCTTTGGATTGTGTTGGCTTCCTATTCATGTATTTACAATGATCTTGGACTTCAAGCCTGAAATACTTCATTACGAAACGATGGAAGACGCCATGACTTTAATGACTATTTATCTCTGTGTTCATTGGCTAGCAATGTCCAATAGTTTTGCAAATCCATTAATATATGGATTTACGAATGCAAATTTTAGAGTAAGTAGCTATTACTAGAAAGGTACTTGTATATGTATTGTTGTCAGACCCGTTATAAAGCGAGTTTTTTTCCAGACAGGTTGACCTGAATTATGTTATGTGTTTAAAATCAAAATCAAATTAACAAGGAAATGAAGAAAACGACACATTTTGATATATTAGTTTCTATCTCTCGAATGTATTCTAATGTATTTTTTTTTAGAGATTTTGTATTCGCTTACTTTTCAATAATTTTGTAGAAACCTCAAAGTCTATGTTCTGCAGTAGGAATCCAGTAAAGAACTGGATATCAAAACATGTCTAGCACAATTTCTATTTCTGCTGTTTTTCTGCTTTGCTCCATTTAAATTCACCAACACACTTGAATATATGTAAACATTGTACAGATTAAGTTTGGCATGGGAAACGACTAAAATCATTACAGATTATGATAATAATGATAATACTTTTGTAATACGAACCAGCATAGTGAGTGTTCCTAATATAGGGTTTTGCTCATTGTTGAAGAACGGGGACCTGTAGTTATTTACATCCATTATCCGTCGGTCTTCGGTGAGCGGTTGTTTCATATGGAAATCATACCACACCTCTTTATTTTGTTTCCGATGTCTGCATGAAAAAAACTGCTAATCAGCATTTTCTCACTCATCAGCCGAAAATCAGATCTTTACTTCCGCGAAATAACTATCCTTACAGCACATTCAGTCTCGGAATTCAGAAATGCAACTGTATCACATAAACATGTCATCATAATAACTTCTTTGTTGAAATAATACTAAAGTGCTACCCTTACTTTCAATGGCTGATTATGTTTTACTCATCAATATCATTAAGGAGATATATCTTGCTGTTTGACTGACTTCTTGTGACTTTAAAGTTAAAGGCACGTGAGCCGTCATCCGGGATTTTCCATATGTCTAACAATATGTGTTGAAGTCGAATCATAAAATGTACTTGGTATCTTCTGATGTTTTTATGATATACTGTAAACTTTTGTTTGTTTTGATTTCAAACTGTCTTAATTTTCTTGGTTTAACAAGTGCAATGCATTTCTAAACTACCTAATGAATATTGCCAAGAATGCTCATGATCTCTTTTTTTTTCATTTAAAATGCCGTAAAATCTGACAAGCATTGCAAATTAATACCTGCACAGAAAATGAAACTAACAATACATTTCTGTCAACCTGGTAAAAAATAAGATATATGTGGATATTTAAAAAAAAATTATATATTTCTAGGTAAAAAAAAAAGTTTCCAAAAACGTTTTGTTGTAGCATTCCATTGAGATATATTAGGATAATACGAATATTAAACTTCGCATGAAGTCACTCTAAAGAGTGCTACTTAAGTAGAAAAAGAGACTGTTAGAAAGAATAAGAATAAGAATAAGAATATTTATTGAATCCAATTAAAGGGCCCGTTTCCGAGCATATACATATATATATATAGTATTAACTATACAATAATTTTTAAGATATATTACCTTAAAAATAAATGATTAAATAACTATACTCCATACCAGATGGTGTTTGAAAATAAATAAAATAGAATATTAACCCTCTCTAATACATAAAAATAAATAAACTACTGTAACATCACTACTACATGTATATTTAGTTAGTTACTGGAATGCAAATTTTCTCTTATTTCAAAACAAGTACTTATAAATCTTGACACTGACATATTAACATTTTCAGACTCACATGACATTAACCAAATAAATTGTTCATACTTTGAAATAAAAGGGAAGTTTTTACATTGAATGCATGCTTCATTAAGAATAAAATTCCGTTCCTTTTCATATGCAGTGCATTCCATTAAAAAATGAAACTCGTCTTCAACCTGCACATACTTACACTGCCCACAAAATCTTTTATCTTTATCGATTTTTTTTATATCTACCTTCCTCAATAGCTAACTGATGAGCACTGATTCTAAATTGAGTTAAGCTTTTTCGATACTGAAATTTATTAACTTGACATAAATATGCTTCCCTTTTGAAGATGTTTTTAAATTTAAAATAAGTACGCAATTTTCCTTTTTTAACATTTGCATTATCTTCTATAGTATTTTTCCATGATTTCAGCTCAAAAATATTTTTAACCTTTTCAATGTCAAAACTTTCCATATCAACATCAATACATCTTAAAATATTTACAATATTAGAATACCAAAATGACTTATTACATTTGTGAGTGTCAATACTTGTGAATAGGGCTTGTTTTAACAAATGATCCCTTTCTAAATCATTAATTCTTTGTAAAAATTTAAGAATAGAACAGATGATTTCAATATGCAATGGAGTACGACCTAACTCTCCCGTAACAGCTAAATTAAATGACTTTTTATTTACCCCGAGAATGTATTTGTAGAACTTTAAACTTAAGTAAGTACTTAAGAAAGTACTTTTTAACTTGAAAAAAGCTTTTAATCCCCTTTGATACAAATCATATTTAGCCGTAGAAAAACTTCCAGAAGCAGAAAAAATAACACCTAGATATTTATAATTTCTAACATTCTCAATTGGTTCACCATTAAAATAAAAGTTACTTTCAATTATTTTACCACCTTTGTTAAAAATTACAATTTTTGTTTTCTTAAGATTAACCTGAATACACCAACTTTTACAATATTCTTCTAATTTATTTAAACATCTACTCAAACCTGTTTGACTAGTAGAAAGAAGCACAACATCATCGGTATACATTAAACAATTAAGTTTTGTATTTCCTATTTCAGCTGGTACACAGTAATCATTAAAAATACACGGCAAATCATTGACAAATATCTTGAAAAGATTGGGACTTAGATTATCCCCTTGTCTAACTCCAATGTTAGCTTTAAGTTTATCTGTTAATTTATCATTTAATCTAACTTGTAAAAAAATATTATTATACAGGTTCTTAATAATATTATAAAAATAACCCCCTATCCCAATGTTTTGGAGTTTTAACAACAAGGCTTCATGAACTACAGAATCAAAAGCTTTCCTAAAATCTACAAAACATGTGTATAAGTAAGTTTTGTTTGCTATACACTTTTCAGTTAGGGTCCTCAAAATAAACATATGATCTACTGTTCTTGATTTTTTCTGAAAACCAATCTGTGATTCAGAAATTACATTAAACTTAGTCAAATAACTATCAAATCTATTATTAAGAATGGAATTAAACAATTTTCCAATACAACTTATAATAGCAACACCTCTATAATCAGAAGGGTCATATTTTGAACCTGATTTAAATATTGGTATAATATACCCTGTTTTCCAATGTTTTGGATAAAAACCAGTGCATAATATAATATTAAATAGTTTTACATAACATGGAAGCAAAATTAACTCACTACATTTGAGCATTTCGTTTCAAATGCAATCTAATCCAGTAGATTTACCATTTTTTAATGCATGTATTGCCTCTGTCACTTCTTTCTCTGTAATTTTATAATCAAGCTCAGAAAAAGTCTTTCTTTGTTCTAATGTACAAAGCATATTCTTAAATTCTAGCATTTTTGATTGATATTTTGAAGAGACCGTATTTAATTCTTGAAAATGTTTAAACCACTCATCAGCTGAAATTATACTATTACTTGACAATTTATTTTCATCTTCATATTTTAATTTGTTTAAAAGTTCCCAATATTTTGATGAATTTTTTCGAATAAATTATCCAACTTTTGAATTATATCCAGCTTATATTGTCTATACTGTAACTTACATTTTTTACCATATAATTTACGAAATTTAAAGAAATTTCCTCGTATAATTGGATCCTTTGGATATCTTGCTAGCATTTGACTTTTATGATCTAATTCTTTACGCATACTACTTAACCCCTTATCAAACCACGGCTTAGACTTAATGCCGTTACGTCTGGATTATGTTTTCCTTTAATGATTTATTTGCTGCCATTTTTAAAATATCATGTAACGAATGTAATGCAGCTTCCACTTCACTTTGAGACTGAGTTTGAATATTTGTTTTTTAAAATCTTGAATTTTGACTTTTATCTCTTCAGACTTAAGAGCATTTAAAAATAATTCTGGAGATATAGTTTCCCCTTTGAATTTCATAGGGAAATCATCCAAATTCTCTTTTAAACAATTAACTTGAACGGAAGCCAATAGTCTTACAGAAACTTTTGCATGATCTGACAATCTAAGTATTGGATCATCAACATGAAAATACAAAACATTTTCTATAAAATCCTCAGATACCAAACAGTAGTCAATTACACTATTACCATTATATTGGTAAGATGTAAATTTACCTTGGTAATCCCCAAATGTTCTACCATTTAATATACGAATTCGACTTGAAATACACATATCCAATAAATCTTTACCTCTGGAACAGAACTTATTATCGTTACTCACTCGTGACTGCTTTATTTTATCCGATTCATACTCCTCAGGTACAGGGACATAATCATTATAATCGTCATCATTATTACTTATAAAATCTTCAAGAATGCCTGTCCTTGCATTAAAATCCCCTAAAATCATAACTTGACCTTTATCTTGATAAGTTGCTATTTCATCAGAAAGATTAGCCAAAATATCAAAGTCTTTATCTTTTAAAAAAGAAGAATTAATGGGGGGGGGGGGGGGGGGGGGGGGGGGGGGGGGTATGTAAGCAAAACATAAAAATATATTGTCTTCATAACCAAAAAAGGTTTTATCTAATATTAGCCATTGGTACTCTGAGCATGTATTTTTAAGGAATTTTACACCCTTTCTTACATTTTTGTTGATTAAAATTGCTAAACCACCATATACTTGCTTTTGTTTTGGGTTTTGTGCCCTGTTAAAATTATTAACAATGTAGTTATCCAGTTTTATACCTGACAAATCACATTTAGTTTCAGACAATCCAATAATATCACACTTTCCTATAGATTTTAAAAACAAATTATCATTTAGTTTGTTACATTGTTTTGAAATAAGTTTGTTTACATTCCAATAGCCTATATTTATCGAGTTCTTCACAACCAGTTTTGATTGATCCGACATTACGGCCTCCGGATGTATACCAAGTCCGATTTTGAACACCAATATGTCCTATCTCCAGTCTGTCACCACGAAGCTCTAAATTATGACCAATTGCCTGCTTAAGATTTCCTGACAGTATATATGTCCCTTTCTTAGTCAAATGTATACCATCATTTACCAATATACCGTTTGCTGGTTGACCACGAAATGACAAGTTACTATTGTCACACAGGAAAATATCACTGGCATCACCAAATTTGTCTTTTATCATGATATTCAGTTTTTCTACATTTCTATTTTTTATCCCATCTTTTTTAGGCAGTCCAAGTGAAATGATAAGTTTCTTGCTAAATTTTTTCTCTCTTTTATGATGTATCAAAGTTTGAAAAATTGCAATACATTCTTCTGGTGTTTTGTGTTCAATGTCATTTCCCAAAATGTGTAAACTGATTGCATCATAATTGGCATTCGGATCGTCAATGGTACCTATATATTCCATACACTCCTGTATTTTGTATTTGATAATCTTGTTGACATTTGCACTTCCAAACGATAGATACTTTGCACTTATATATTTTGTGTTTGAGGTTCCTATCATAAGTATTTCTTTTCTATTTTCCCTCCCTTTATTTAAATTTCCTGAAGATTGCAGATTTTTCTGTTTTCCATTATTTTTAACCACTGGTGTGGAGTTTGATAAATTATCAATAGATGCGACATCAACTTGAAAGTGAAGTCACATGACCTCAAAATTACATGGCTGATAATTCTAAGTCTCGTACACTGTCGACCCTCGCATGTGGATAGGATAATTTCACCTTTCCAGTTCACCTGAAAATATTCCAAACTCGTATTACCTAAGCCATGATATTCATTGTGGTCTGGTGTTAATACATGCATATTTGATTGGTTTTGTACTAGCGCTGGACTGTTTGTTCGTTTTTGTTCTGCGTTTTTATTGGACTTTTCGACAATTTTGTTTTTTTCCTTCTAAAAAGTTACTTTTGGTATTTTTCTAGTCTTTGACTGACTTGGTTTAAAATCACACATCGTATAATGCTAGCAGAAACCCACACAGTCATTTCACATTAAAACAGGAAGTTACACGAAGGCTGATACATTGTAATAGCACAGCTGTTGCTGTAAGGTTGACGTCTAATTGAAATAAACACTTTATTTATATTAAACTGATAATAACTATTCTTTAATATTATAGGCCGACTTAGCAACTTTGATGTTCCTATGGTTTCCATGTTGTGGATGTCTAAGAAGAGTCATTCCGAAAAGACAATACAGCTCAAGTACACGTGATAGTGTCATAATGAGGCGACAAAGTACTTTTAAATCGAGCCGAGTAGGAAATGGTTTCCATTCCGTTAAGAACGACGTCAGTCTTGTGACTACTCCTGGGTCTTCTAAACATACTGCATTGCGACAGATAAGTAAAGACAGTACATTGTCGGATTGTAGTGCATGGTAACATCGATGTAAATCATCCTACCCGTTTTAATTTAGAGATACATTTCATTGTTGGGACCAGACCGATTGGATAGAATTAGAATTTAGACATATGTCAATGAAGAAAGAACATGCTCATACTGTCGTTTTTGTGGTGAGTATTTTAACACTACAAATATATGACAACAAAACAATATATTTGCTCTAAAATTGTTTTCAAATGGAGAGATAGAAGATACCAAGGAGACAATCAAAAACTAAAAAGTACATAAAAAAACGCAGACAACACCATGACCAAAAAAGGAAAAATGACAAATAGACAAACAACAACGATAAAACACTACACAAAACCTAACAGTCAGCAACGCGAAACTTCCAAAAAACCGGGAGTCATATCAGGTGCACCAGTAGGGGGAGTTCTTCCTGTTCCTCTTGTGACACCCGTCATGCTACTCATAGTCGGTAAAATACCTTGATAAAGTCGCCTTCGATAATATCACGAACCTTGTCCTACATTTTATCTTGTTATCATATCACTCAATAAAAGAAAATGAACAAAACCACATTAATAAATCGATAGAAAGCAATTTACATAATGCGACATGGTTGATAATTTGACGTCATTTGCATTCACATATGCTTTGTTATGTCATCAAAACAATTCAAAAATAGAACCTAATCATTCATCTCGGCCGTTGCTCTCAGAGTTCGTGTCAACTTGATATAATGATCTGCTTGCATGCAGTATATATAATTACTGTGTTTGTAATAAACAAAATATATTGCAATCATCATAAGTTTATTCTACTGTACTAACAGTATTACTGGAACAGGAAAATATCTTGATCAAATATCATATATGAAATAATCTGGGTTTAAAGGACAAACATAAGGAATATATAATCATCCAATTCCTTCAGAATAATCTTTAATATGAGGACAAGGTTCTTGGTATTTTTATGATCAAACTATAATTAAGATGCTGTAGTGCTAAAATGAATCTTTACAGTTCATACTTTTTTTCAAAAAATATTTAATATAAATAAGAAGATGTGGTATGAGTGCCAATGAGACAACCCTCCATCTAAGTCACAATGTATAAAAAGTAAACAATTATAGGTCAAAGTACGGCCTTCAACACGGAGCCTTGGCTCACATTGAACAGCAAACTATAAAGGGCCCCAAAATGACTAGTGTAAAACAATTCAAACAGGAAAACCAACAGTATAATCTATATAAAAATTGAGAAACGAGAAACACTTATGAAACACACCAACAAACGACAACCACTGAACAAAAGGCTCCTGACTTAGGACAGGTGCATACAAATGCAGCGGGTTTAAACGTTTTAACAGGCGCCAACCTTCACCCTAACTTGAGACAGTAGTGTAACATTACAACATAAAAAGACACACTATAAGATATCAATTGAAATGGCTTAACTCGATCAAAAAGACATTTAAGCAAAAACAATTAAACATACACTGAACGAATAAGTTTGATCAATGACACAATATAAATACAATATTAAAACGAAGGTGCCTATATAACATAGATTTACAGGTAGTAATAAAAAAGATGTAGGAAGAGTGTCAATAAGACAACTCTTACATGGGACAAAATGGCGTTAAATAAAACAACGTACACAGATAAATTTAAGTATAATAATTTTGTTGTTAGGAGTACGAGTACAGAAGTGAAAATTTATCGTCATACTAAATACTTATCAAAGGTGGTATATATTAAAAATAGTGAGAGGAGATATAACACAAAATAAGTAAACATTGAATTACAGAAATGCATTACAAATGATGTCAACAGGTCAAATTAACACGGAAGTACGATTTGAGAATACTCGCAGTTACTGAAAGCTAGTTAAAAGCCAAAAATAATTTACAATAAAAAATCATGCATCAAATACTAAAATCAATTAAAACACATCCCAGGGATTTAGTGTTTTAACGCCATGGACAGTCAAAGAAGACATGACTTGTGCAATGCCAAAATAAAAGTATCGACAGGCAGTAGGATCGTTAGGATATAACCTTATAATAAATATGTATCAAGTTATATATAGATAAAGCAGTCTCTAGATAGAAAATTAACGTGGATGTGTACTTATACATCCCCAAAACCATTCGAAAAGAATACAAATTTAGTTATGTTTTGATTTGTTGATGACAAAATCGATGTTAGTGCCAATGTAAACAATATTCAAAGATCTTATTACAACATCAATAAGATAACCTTTACTTATAAGTTTGTTTAAAGGGTCGATGAGTTTACACGGATCACATAGTGATTTCCGCGCTTTTAGTAGAATATTACCGTAAAATTTAGGATGTGAAATACCGTTTTTAATAAGTTTTCTACAGGTATAGCCAAATTTACTTATCAAATCTTTGTATCTATGAAAGAATTTAGTAAATGTTTTAAGTAATTTATGGTAACGAAATCCCTGACTTAATAATTTACCAGTGATGCATTGGTTACGTTCGTTAAAATCTATGACATCACTTCACACACGGGCATAATGAACGAGTTGGGATATATAAACACCGTATGATGGAGCCAAAGGAACATCGCCGTCTAAAAAAGGAAAATTAACAATAGGGAATGAAAAATCGTCTCTTTTGTCGTAAATTTTAGTATGGAGTCAATGGCGGATCCAGAAATTTTCATAATGGGGGAGGGGGGGGGGGGGGGGGGGTCACTGATTGCCTAAGAGGGGGCCCGCTCCAGTCATGCTTCAGTGATTCCCTATATAATCAACCAAATTTTTCCCACAAAAGGGGGACCCGGGCCCAGGATTGATTATATATGTTTTTCTATACATGGTATTCAATATGTGTACTGAAAAATAAAAAAAAAATTAAGTCTATATCAGTAGACAAACATAGACATGATGGTGTTGTTAGTCATTATAATTGTTGCTGCTAATAAAGCATATCACCAGACCGCAAAGGATAATTGCAAAGACGTCGAACGACAATTATTTATTAAGTTTACTTTGAAAATTTGAAGTTCTTTTTATAACTCATAATTTTTCTTCATTTTCAGATGTTTTTATAACAGATAATGGATACCAAAGATCATTCCTGTTTCGTTGTTGTTATATTTCAATTATTTAATATATGTAATCACATTTTTGTTTGACTTCATTTTCAATCCAACTATAAGCCTATGTAAATTTAATATATAGCTTGAATAATTTATGGAGTTATTTTTCTTTTCCCAAATGTTCATGTTGTGCAAATGCATTAGTGGGTATATCTGCATTTCTCAATTAAAGATCCCCTTAGACACAATAACATGTTGATTAACGTTACAATTACTAGTTGTCTAATAAAAAAAATACAATTTAAGGAAATTTATCGAACAATACTGAGTAAGATCATTCCGAAGTTAAAATCTCATTTAATCTATTAAGAAGATACACATTAAAGTAAAAAAAAACCAAAAAAAAAACAAAAAAAAAAACCGAAATTAACGGAGGGAATGACGTGAAAGGAGCGAGACAAGATGTGTCTCCGACTATGAATGCATCACCCACCATGCGAACCCACACTCGATTAGTCCAAATGTCATGATAAGGACTATGGCACAATCGGTAGATATACAGCTCAGACGACTAATCAATATCTATCTAAAGATTTAGGACCGCAATAATGTGTCGATAGTTAGTTGAGACAGAGACACATCGTATCGGTAAACCAATTCGTGATAGTAAAACGGTAAATAAGAGGAACTAGTAGAATTAACAACAACAAAAAGCTAAAACCAATGATCATTGAATACATTACACAATTTTGGCTGCTGAATCGCAAGTATTGTCACATTTACCTGTTATGTCCGTTTGGGTTGGCCCACCTAATTTTGTCAATAAAACGGAAATATAAACAACTGCCATACAAATGGTAGGTTCAGCTACGTTTGTACCCACCATTTTCTTCGGAAAATGTCTATACCAAGTCAGAAATATGACAGTTGTTTTTCACTCGTTCCGTTCATTGATAACGTTTCATTTTGTTAGTTTTTATGGACTTCTCCTTTTCAAAATTTAGTAATACTTTGGATTTTGGTATTTTTGTTAACCCATTTTTACATGGAACAGCGTGAATTTGTTGTCGCCTTAAGTGGGAACTGTCCGTAAGGTGCCTTTAATAACAATACCGTATAGTTAGCTATAAAATACTCCGCGATAACAAAATGTGAAACAATTTAAAATAGAATATGTTTAAGGCCTGATTTAATGTAAATAGTACCATATAATCAACAACAAGGTCAACATGTTGTTGTCGTTATTGTCGCCCGTATGATTACAAAAAGAATTTCAATACACCCTTGGTTACAAAAAATAAATAAGTTTCACACTTGGAGAAGCAAGTTTATTAAAACTGACATCACGATTGCTCTAGTATACAGGCCACTGGCTTATGTTGTCTTAACCTCATGACTACTGATTGAATTAGTCTAAACACTAATAGCATTGGCAGTGTCTGTCTGCAAGTGGTAATTTCTATTAAATGAAAATGTTTTTCTTTACTGACACAACATGTTTAATAAAAAAAGATTTTTGTCTGTATTCAATGAACAACCGTTAGGACATTTAACTTTTAAGAAATACTGGTTTTAACGATAAATGAAAAAAAAACAAAATACTAAGAAAATATGGTTCCATCTCCCTCCGTCAAAGTAAACCTGGGATGCATCGGCTATTGTTTAAGGTGAATTGTTGTCATACATGCATAGGTCCTAATGTTTTTATGAAGGACCCGAGTGAATTATTAGCACTTACTAGCACTGAGTTAATATAACTACTAGTGGACCTCAGTAGTTAGTGCTTCGGTACTAACATGGTTTCTTGCATGTTTTCATCCGTTGATGAAGTAAGAAATTACAAAGAAACTAAGGTTTCAACTTTCTCAGGCAAAGTTGACCTTAAATAAGTTTCATTTAGGTCCCTTTTGGTCATATTGTTCCTAACATTTCTACGTATTAATATACATTCTGGATTTCAAAATGTTCGGGTTCATTTTCTAGCACTGGGTCGATATCACTGCTGTTATACTGTTGGTCCCCGAAAGCATCACCAACTCAGGAGTCAGGGCTTCAGTACTGAAATAAAATAAATGATAACACATGTTTTTCTAAAATTCCCCGTTGATATATTAAGAAATTAGTTAAAACTAAGTTTCCAACTACCTCAGGCAATGTTGACCTTGATGAATTTAGCTATTCTTTTAGGTCCGTTTTGGTCATAAAGCTCCTAACGTTTCTACGTATTTATATATTCATGACTTTTAGAGCGTTCCTGATGAAGGTAAATCCGGAAAAGCGTTTCGAAATCACGAAATTTATAAGGCGTAGTAAACTTCTGTGGATAAACTTAGAGGTATATATTTGGAAAGTTATAAAATGTTATTTTCATTTTTTAATAAGTTGAATACATTATTAGCAAAATGAGATGAAGAATAACCGTCAATGAGAAAACAAACTAACATCAACAAAAAAACAAAAAACATCAGTCTTTTCGATCAAAGTTAATTTTGTTCATGAATGAAAGTTGTTCGTACTCAAATGTCACCTGTGATGTAATGGTGACGTCATGAACATGTAGAAATGTGAATGTAGAAAATGAATTTCGAGCCAGAATGCGATCATGAAGAATTAATCTAGTCAAGCAGCCATTTATTATAACAATGCTTAATTTTACTGAATTGAAAATTGATGCTGATTACTGATGGCAAGCTAAAGGTTCTTCAGTGGTTGAGTATGAAATAATGTCTAAATTTGACAGAGTTTAGGACTTTTACGTAATTTTGTTTAGATATATTACCATCTGATATAGAGCCGATCTTACATTGTTTGCATATGTTCTGTCTGATGAAATATCTCTTAATACACAAGTTATGGCTCGAAGCGTTACTTAAGAAAATGCATTTCCAGATTTTCTAAGCTATTTCAGCAAAAACTAAACATTTTACTTTGATATACACTTAATCGGCAACTGAACATATAAATAGCTGTCATAAATTGAGAAAGAAAAAAACAGACATTGCAAGGACAAAGGTGTACAGTTTATTGATTAAAATATTAATAAGCGATTTTATATTAACCACAAAATAATGGATGTCAAAATACACGTAGTAGTGAAAAACTATAGCCTGTGTTTGCCAACTATAAAGATATAGATAACGACTTTCAGAATAGTTTTATGTGTAACGACATAACCACAAGATAGTGTGTTGGATATCGGTAATCTACTGTCGCTTTTATTTAAAGTTATTCCTATGATTACTTGTAGATCTTTTTTTTTCTATTGAAGTAATCCGACAGAACGATCAAGGTGTATTGCGTACCTCAATATAGTACTTTCATCATATCAACATTATATAGTCGCATTTGTCGACTCATACAAACACACATCACATTCTTAGCTTCATAATTGTCTTTAATTGTCTTTGATATTAAATGCATAAAGATTTATAGATCTTGGCTAGAGTATTTTTAGAAGTAATGGTACGATAAGAACGTTCACTGCATCAATCGAAGAAACAAAATGGTTCAATGTGATTTATGGAGGTGGACGATATTTAAGTCCCCTTTAAATAATTATAACTAGATGTATCTAATGATCATCAGTATTTTTCAATTATATTTATATTTCATTGATGCATTACTGTATAAATAGGAGATATGATGTGCCTTTTTATAGGACAATATTCTAGAAATAAACGAACAACTAATTACAGTTCTCACGTCATGTGTTTCTGGAATAATTTTCATCAAGTATAATGAGTCCTTATATTTTTGAAGCTACTGCGAAAAACATTTAAAAGATTTGAGAACAGATCCACCAATGGATCTTCAACACAGCGAGAAAATCCCGTACCCGGAGGCGGGCTTTAGCTAGCTGGCCCCTAAATAATAATGTATACTAGTTCAAGAACATAATACTTCAAACAAGCCTGAACAGAACAACAAAAAGCGTCTCAAGTAGACAATGTGAATGAGCTGCAGCCGTGAGTTCTTTTTTGTACAATTACATACACAAACAGTGACAATTAGATATTACCAAAGTGACAATCAATTACCATAAATCAAGACAGACAGACAATATATTGATAAAAAATGACGAGGAGAAAAACATGTAAAAAAACAACACAGAAAATTAAAAGATCGCGCAACATAAACCCGACCAAAAAAGAATAATCTCAAGTGATCTGGAATGATAAAGCAATTATTACTCAATTAGTTGCACCCGTCGCGAAGCTCATACAAGTAAAACACGGTATTGTACTAAAACGGGGAAAGGAAGACAGAAATTTGGCTAAGACAAATGGACCATATTCGTGGCCATCTTCGACACAGACATTCCATTGTGCCTTTTTATAGGACAATATTCTAGAAATAAACGAACAACTAATTACGTCATGTGTTTCTGGGAATAATTTTCATCAAGTATAATGAGGTCCTTATATTTTTGAAGCTACTGCGAAAAACATTTAAAAGAATTAAGAACAGATCCACCAATGTGGGTCTTCAACACAGCGAGAAAATCCCGCACCCGGAGGCGGACAGAATTATTGCTAAGACAAATGGACCATGTTCGTGGTCATCTTCGACACAGACATTCCATAGCATGAAGGATTCCGTATATCCTTCCATATAAGATAAGATGAATTACACTTTACAAAAAAAGCAACCTGGATCAACAGATTAATTGGAAGCATTAACCTTCCGTCAAATTTAAATTTTAAATGCATCTTATGCTTAGTTTAATTCAAATCATGCTAGTACCGAATCATTGGCTTCTGAGTAAATTGTATCTCTGAACTAAAAATCCACCATCAGTGGCACCAACCTAAAAATTAAAATATAAACGTGCATACATCACCAACTATGTACTTACCAAGAGCAACATGACGGATACTACAAGCGGATCAATACTTCCCTTCGGAGCACCTGATATCACCCAAATATGATTCTGGGGTTTAATTTGATCCGTCATAAGTAAAATATATCTATGTAGTGTTTTATGGACTTGTTCTTCTTTTCGTCGTCTTTTTGTTTTTTTCTCTCACGGCGTTGTCCATTTCTCTTCGACTTATAAAAGAGAGGCGAAAGATACCAAAGGGACATTCAAATTCATAAGTCGAAAATAAACTGACAACGCCATGGCAAAAAACTAAAATCGACGAAAAGACAAAGTTCACAAAACACAACATAGAAAACTAAAGACTGAGCAACACGAGCCCCACCAAAAACTGGGGTTCATCTCGGGTACTCTGGAAGGGTAAGCAGACCCTGCTCTACATGTGGCACCCGTCGTGTTGCTAATGCAAGTAAAAATCCGGTGATAAGTCAATTCAGTAGGTCACATTTGAGGTAAAGAGGATGGGATCCTGGTTACGACAATTGGAACATATCCGTCGTCATCTGTGAAACAGATATTCCACAGCGGTCAACCAACTCTT